GAAGAATTGATGCTTTTGAATTGTGGTGCTCGAGGAGGCTCTTGAGAGTCCCCAGGATGGCAAAGAGATCAAACCTATCAATTCTGAAGGAAATCAACCCTGAGTGCTCACTGGAAGGTCAGATCCTGAAGCTGAGGCTCCAATACTTTGGCCATCCTGTAAGACAAGAAGACTCCCTGGAAAAGGCACTGATGTTGGGAAAGTATGAAGACAAGAGGAGAAGGGGACAACAGAGGACGAGATGGCCGGACAGTGTCATCGAAGCTACCAACATGAATTTGATCAAACTCCGGGAGGCAGTGGAAGACAGGAGGGCTTGGCGTGCTCTGATCCATGGGGTCATGAAGAGTCGGACACGACTTAACGACTAAACAACAACAATCAAGAAAAGATACATTTTTAAAAGTTATACTGTATATCTGTAGTTCTAAGGAGTCCCACCTAACAGCTAGGAACTCTAACTGTGTTTCTTAACTCCTCCTGAAATCAGTGAGGAACTCTGTGTTTCTTAACTCCTCCTGAAATCAGTCTTGAATTGGCCACTGTAATTTGTGACAAAAAAGTCAGTGGGATGAAGAATGGGTGAGTGATTGTGATATTAATTATGGGCCAAACCCTGTAGTAGACAGTATGGAGGTTTTATGTCAGAGAGAGTCAAAAGGTAGCCCACAGGCCACATGGAGGCTCCAACTGTTGCCCTTTGGCAAGCCAACTCTTTAAAAAGTATCAATCATTTGCTCAACAAAATTTGTGCAGGGAGCAATTTAGATATGTTTTGGCCCTTCTGGGGTGTTTCAGGCTGAGAGGTGACACTTCTGGTTTTTGGGGGGACCAAAAGGACTCACCTATGGCTAGGATGGCTCAAGAAGAGCAAAAAACATCATGGAATTTCACCCTCAAGCCATGAGAGAATGTGAGGTGTCATTCTTTAGATATTTGTCTAGGTAATGCAGATCAGTAAAGGCAGGCAGGCAGGCAGGCAGGCACACGCACATGCACACGCACACACACACGGTTAAGCCACAGAAGCCAGTATAGTGTGACAGCCAGTGTACTGTGGTAGAAAGAGTATTGGGCTCGAATCTCCATTTGGCCATAGAAACTGACAATGGGGCGGCTATACCAAACATCAGATTCCTTGGTAACCTTACAATGATTGCTTAATGATAAAGAGCACACAAGCCACACATTGCTTTTGTCACCCTCTTTGGGACAAAAATGGGTGAACCCTGTGATTCAGCTTCATCACAGCAGTGATCTAGAGGTGAAGCCTGTAAGCTTCAGCGGTTCACCAAAGCTATTTTATTGACAATTATTAATTTGAGGTTCAGATTCACTTTTGAACAGAGAACAATCTGGATTTAACACTGTAGTTGGGCTTTATCCCACACTGGGTTGTTGAAATCCTACAGAATCATAAAGTTTTATTTATTATACTGTACAATTAAAATATAAAAAAGATATGTAGCAAATGCAAACAGATACTATACCTGTCCATTCATACACCCTCCTGCAACAATGTTGGGATTACTTGGAGAAAACTCAAAGCAGTAGATGTCCTCAGGGCACTCCAGCATTAGCTAGAAAATATATTTGTTAAAACAGAGGGCAGGGGAGGGAGAGGGGAAAATATCAGATCTGAGTGCTGGAGCAATCACTTCTTCTGTTGTTCAAACACGTCAGAAGCATGAAAATGTTCTTTCAGATACCTGAGGGTGAATTGGGTCTGCAAAACTCCAAAACAGAATGGGTGCTTTCCACAAGAGCAATCTTCCAGACTGTTGCACTCGGTCCTCGTACGAAAGCCGCTCTGTTACTGCCACCGCAATAATCCCTAATTTAAGGCAAATGCAATTCTACTATGGGAAAGATATCAGTCCTTCTTCTTTTTTAAGTCTATGTCTACATTCGGTGCTAGCTAGAAGTCTTGCTAGAAGAATTCCACTAGCGTATTTTGCAAGAGGCACAAAACTATTTAGGAATGTTCCTTCTACTTCTTGGGACAGTGAATTTCATAAACAAATTATTTGTTGTGCAAAGTGATGTTTTTCTTTGTCTATCCTGAACTTTCTGGTAACCAGCTCAACTATCTCTCTGAGTTCGAGGATGCAAACAGGAACTTTCTCCATCCATTCTTTCCACCCTCCTTATAATAGAGATGTGCAAATTTGTGGGGGTGGGGTTTGGACTACAGGTCCCAGAATTCCCTAGGTAACTGCCTGAGGAATTCTAGCAGTTAAAGAACAACAACAATACAACCCACAAATCTGTGCACCTCTAATTCATAACAAATGTTGCCCCTTCACAGAAGTGGTCATGTCTAGGGAACAGAAACGGTTCTGGAAGAAAACTCCAACAAGCAACCCAGTAGAGAAACTTTAAAACTGTTTTCTTCTCCCAGAAGTGGACGTGTCAGGAAGGTGAAAAATGCTACTTGTAACACTTTTCCCCTCCTGCAATATTTTCTTCTGTTGTCCTGTTTTAAATTTCTGGGGAATCAGTCTTCTAGTATTTTCAGGGCTGGGTGGGAGGAAAGCAGGTTGATTTTTCACAGAAATGCCAACGAAGTGATACAGTTGTTAATCTTGAAATATTGCAGAACACACCTTACAATGTTTCTAATCATAAGCTAAGCATTTTACCGTAAATGGTTGGATGCCAGCAAATGCAGCTAACAGTTCTGTCCTTGAGGTAATGCAGATCAGTAAAGGACTGGTATTCCTTAAGGAAAACATCGGACTTGCCCACAAAGCCAGCTTCGTCTTCTGCAAGGGCTTTCCAGTCATCGAAAAAAGCATCCATTATTTCATTTTGTTGCAGTGCTACTTCAACTCTGCAAAATGGGGTGTTTTTTTTAAAAGGTTAGACGTCACTTCTTAAGTCATAGCATACCACAAATGTATTATTTCAGAAAGCATGCATCTTTTAAAGTAGTCTCATTGCTAATATAGCAAGAAAAATATATGGCTTCTGTCTTTGATATCCAAGACTTCCTACCTGAACACATTTGGGAGAATAACTGTTCTACCGGATACCAGAAATTCTTTAAAAGTGAAGAGATAAAAAGAATGGAGCCCCTCCGTTCTGCTTTGTCAAAATTATGCAGGAGAAAATTAAGCTTTGTGTATGAATGTGTTTGTGTGTTTTAAGAAAAGAAGAGCTGAGGCTTTACTGCTAGAATCAATGGCATACAGTGGTTTTGCTGGGACAACTGGATTTCGCTGGAAATCTCTTGATTCTAAACATGACACCTGAGTACAGTTATTAAGGCATTGTGACAGTTTGTGTATGCACAGAGCCAATATTTTCCCCATTATTGGAGAATCTACACAGAACATTGAATGATTATTGGCAGCCTGTGGTTCTAATGTTCTGTTCCTGCTTGCTGAAAGACCTCTTGAATACAGTCTGGGGACAAAGATTTCAAAAGATGCCTTGTGTATGCCTAAGGTTAGGAGAAGGTGACTGAGGGATGTGTACACCTGTATCCAGTGGTGTCTGATAGCTGGTGTGGCAGAAGGCATATCAGCCAATGGTGGGTAGAACCAAGGGTGACAGGAGATACAAAGGGAAAGTGGCTATTAATATACATAGGAATCGTCATCGTTTAGTTGTTTAGTCGTGTCCGACTCTTTGTGACCCCATGGACCACAGCACGCCAGGCCCTCCTATCTTCCACTGCCTCCCAGAGTTGTGTCATACATAGGAATACATGCATACAAATACACAAACAGGCATTTATTCAGGCTATATCTGATTCCTAGCCCACCGGACAGGCGGGGAGGGCGGAGATCCATCTCCGCAGCCCAGTTCTGGCAAGCGCATGGACTGGCACAGGGCAGTGGACTGGGGTTTGGGGACCCCCTAGTCTACAGCATTCCCTCTGTGTCTGTGCTTATATATATGGTCATGGGCTCTGTTAGGAGTCAGAGAAGAATGCCAGGGGAGTTGAATTTGATCCTGAGTATTTCTGACACAAATTTCTGCTGGCATCAGTTTTTGTGAACTTGATCCTGTTTCATCAAATGCATGGCGTAAAAAACTATTATAAAGAAAGGACGGGAGGGGGAACCCAGGAAGTGAAGCATGCCCTATCATCCCCTTTATGATTTTGTACAAAAACTTACCTACGTCTCCATATAACAGTAGAGTATACTAACCTGAGTGCTACAGCCAAAAGAAAATTTTTTAGGTCTTCTGAAGACAAATACTGCTGTCTTTCTTCAGGCAAAAATTCTCTAGGATAATATTGTGTTGTTGCGTTTTTGGGGTAGGTCCTAGAGCAAATTAAATTTACAGTTTGAGAAGTATTTAGGAGGATGGAAAATGGGCATTTGCAATTCTGGGGCCAAGATTCAATGTGACACTTGCCAGGGTGCTTCTCCCTGTAGCATTTAGTGGGATTTGATAGTGCAGCAGTTCATTATTTCCCAGCACTTCCACTCTCCCACCCCATAGCACAGTCAGTGTCCATCATAGGAATATATAGCTGTCTGGCTGTGGAGAAGAGGGATAGAGAGAAGAACTCAATATGGGGCTACTGTTTCAGGCACCAGTGCCATATCAAGCTCTTCCCAAAAGCTTTCTGTTGAAGTTGCAAATAAGTTGGTTTAAGTCACTTTTGGCAGAGATAAAAAGCTTTGTGGTACCCACCTACCTACAATATTTCAATCCTGCCTTTCTCCCCAAAAGGACCCAAGGTGGCTTACATCATTAAAATAGTATTCAAAAGCTAAAAACAGTTAAGTATACAAATATTTAAAAAGAATTAAATAAGTAGTAAATTAAAATAGTAACTAACAGCAATATTAAAACACATTTAAACAACAAGTTTGATTTGGCATAAGCTTTCATGGACTGCACCCACATCACCAGAGGTGGCCCATAAAAAGCTTATGACAAGTAAAAAAGAAAGATTAAAACTTGTTTGTCTTTAAGATACCATAAGATTCCTTGGCTAGAATCATACTGCATATTTACACTAGCATAACTACACTGGTGCAACTTTCAGTAGTAAATTGTACCAAGTTATTAAGTCAGTTGTAGGCATTTGCTGTCACACACCAAGTCATCCAACTAGTTTGTAACAGGAAATTCTTATGCTGACTTCTTAACTTTTAGCAATTTATCACTTAAAGTTAAGCCAGTGAAATTACACTGTTGAGCATAACTAACACAATTTTGAAACACGAGATGAAGTGGTAAAGGCATGTATGATTGAATGGGCACAGAATGTAGGACATAATATTGAACTGGATCAATAGGAACAAATTTGGAAAACTAATATAAAATTAACTAAATCTGTTGCATTTAAAGAGAATATATACAAAATGTTCTACAGATGGTACATGACCCTCACAACACTGGCTAAAATAAGCAGCCAGATTTCAAATATGTGTTGCAAATGTAAACAGAAAGAAGGAATATTTTATCACATGTGGTGGATGTGCAAAGACGCCCAAAGATACTGGAGTAAAGTGAATCAGATGCTACAAGACACTTCTATTCCGATTGTACCAGAACCATTCCTATTAAATATCTTGCCAGATATATTATTAGACTCTGAAAAATCATATTTAACTATTCATATTATAACAGCAGCAAGAATAGCTTTTGCAAAACACTGGAAGAAACCTAAGGTAAAGGTAAAGGTTCCCCTTGACATTTAGTCCAGTCGTGCGCCGACTCTAGGGCGCGGTGCTCATCCCCGTTACCAAGCCATAGAGCCAGCATTTGTCCGAAGACAGTTTCTGTGGTCATGTGGCCTGCATGACTAGACACGGAACACCATTTCCTTCCCACCATGGTGGTACCTATTTATCTACTTGCATTTTTACATGCTTTCGAACTGCTAGGTTGGCAGGAGCTGGGACAAGCAACGGGAGCTCACTCCGTCGCATGGATTTGATCTTACGCTGGTCTTCCAACCTTGCACCACAGAGGCTTCTGCGGTTTAACCCACAGTGCCACCATGTCCCTTCTTGGAAGGAACCTAGAACACTGGAAATAGATGAAGTGATAGATAAAATTCCTGAAGCCGCAGAAATGGACATAGTATCAGATTGGATAGATGCAGGGAAAAAAAAGATCATTGGAAAATTTGGTCACAATTATATACATGGTTACAAGGTAGATAGAAAAGTTGACTGATACATAGTTATCTGTATGGCTGCAGAAGAGACAGAATAAATTATGGATAAAGACTATCAACTACATAATCGATAATTAGAATAACAATATATCTGAATTTGATCTTTCCCTCTCGCTCAATGTTTATATTTCTTTCTGATATGTGGAACTATTACTAGAAGAGAATGCACAAAATTACGATGAAAAATATTGATCTGTAATGTATCCGTTCATATCCACCCCCTCTGAGGGTACCCCTATCCCAGCTGCCCCTTACCTTGCCCTACCTTTATAAGGAAAATAAAAAATATATTTAAAAAAAAGAACTTTGGCAGGAAAGAGTACATAATGCACATATTTCCAGGGTACAGTCTGAAGACATGAACATCACTGGACTGAAGCACGTGACTCAAAGTTACATGATGCAGCAATCCTGCTACTGCTAAGCAGGTCTGAATTTGGTGGATAACTGGATGGGAGACTCCATGGGAATCCTTTGTAGATTGTTTTGGATTCTATCAGAGAAGAAAAGTACAGCCTATATTTCATAACAAAATCACCTTGAAGTGGGTTTATTTCCCATGCCAGATACTACTAGTGCTTTTAAAATACTTTGAAAATAGTGAAAGAACTGAGTAATTTTATGTAATTCCTAATTCAGCTAAGAGAAAAAACTGAAATTGGCCCTATATTAAAAAGAAGATAATCTCTCCAATTTAAAATTAGGCAAGTTGTATTGATAAAACCTTATACTTACCATCTTGTTTGGGTTCCTGTCTCTTTTACTTCAGGAACTACCTGTGTGCCAGTATTTCTCTCAAGTTGTCGAATGGTGAAAAACTTATCTTGATAAGATGTACATTCCACATAGCCATGTTTATCAGTTGAAGCATTTCTCTTTTGGAATTTAATCCGAATCCCAAATTCTTTATGTGGCCGAGAAATCATATATTTAATCTGAAATTTCATAATATAGAAATTTTAATATAATATAATAAGGATGGAAATAATTCCTTGGAGCATTGTCAGTTATAAGCTTTATGGTTTGATAATTGGGTTATAGTCTTTCCTGATTTTATTCATCTGCTTTTACATATTTGATAGTGTAATTCTTGAATATATGGCATAATGATAACACAGAGAATATTAAAATAAGTCTTAAGATCTCTCACAACACCTGCCTTTAATAGTTTCAGCAATTCACATTAAATTTTTTCCATGGAAGAGGAAACTGAATTCTCAATTCACATATGGTGATATAAGTTCCTAGGCCAAAGATTTTTCAGAGTTCATTTCTGATGTTATTTGAACACATGTCTAACATTCAGTAACTTTCCACTATGTGTAAAAGGAGAAGAAACTATATCTTCTTTGCACATTCTTACCCTATCACCGTCAAACAGAGACCCTTCATTAAGACAACAATCCTTTGCATGATTATTCAGAAGTCTGTGACATTCTTTGTAGAAGCACTTACTTTCATGTAAATGACTCTTTATGTCAAAGAAAAGTCTATTCCATAAAGGCACGCAAGGTGACCAACAGAGCTCAGTTTACTATTGTCAATAAAGACAAGAATGATGGGAAAAAAGAAATAAGGGAGAGATAAGCGTGAGTGTAAGTCTTAAGATGCATTTCTGGTGAAAAGTTTGTTGTGATTCCTATATATAGGTCTTGATAGCTCCTAAGCATTCCAGACCAACTTTCTAATACATCTCTGGAGTTTTTCTTCTCTGAACACTGAATGGGTTACCACCTCAGCCTGCTCTGGATCCAATTCATTATTTGGCTAAGGCGACCAAGAGTTTTAAAACAACTGGCTCCTCACCTCATCTTTGGATGTTTGCTAATTTTGAAATATGAAAAGACTCTAAGAACACAAGCTGGGTCCAAACAAAAGCTTGTCTAGTTTTACATTTTCTACACACAGTGGACAACCAATAGCCATGGGAAGCCAGTGAGCAGGATCTGGAACGTCTATGCACTTAAGCAGCCATAGTTTGTGGTTGAAAGAGGAGGACTTACCTTAAAAATTTCAGGGTGGAGTGCCCTTTCCTGCTGAGGTTGTGGTCCACTTAGGCCATGGGTCCCTCAGGCACCACTAACCAAAAGACTGTGTAATTACAAACTGCAAATTGGGTAATCAAAGGAAATTTGCACAGAATCCTATCTGTTATGATTTTTACTCTATGAATTTTTTTAACTCTACTTCAATGCCATTATTTAAAATGGAGGCATAAGATGGTTTTAGTAGCAGTGAATAAGGTGGCTGTGAATTCTGACCTTTCTTGTTCGTTCTTTAACAGATTCTTCTTCAATTTCCTTTTCACTTCCAAGTGAGACCCAAGGTTTGCGCACAGGAGACTTATAAACGTATTCTTCTTGGACCCATTCTTTAATTTCTTCCTCTTCTTCTTCCTCTGGAGGCTATCAGGGAAAATATTTGCCAAAGTGAAGATGTTTAGATGAATAAAGATAAACACAACAGTGCTCAAACATCATATTCCTTTCTATTAATCTCATGATGCTCATGCGCTTGCTTTGTTAACTTATTGGGAATAGAAGTACTGTAATAAAAAAAATAAAATAACAGCTTCAAAACATCTTACATTTAAAATACCTTCCTTAGCCTCCTCAGTTGCAATAAGATAAAAGATCTGTCCATATTTTAATTCTCTGTCAAAGACTACTAGAAGTTCTTCTCCAGGATAATCCTGTGTAAACAACAAGAAAGCAAAAGTGATTTTTATATCAAGCAAAAATGTACACCATTTTAATGATGGCTCTCAGGATTGCCCAGCTTTCTTATTTTGGTCTCGTACAACCAGGACTAACTGAACCTCTTCTTAGATCACTAGTATCTGTTCCCCACTGAATACTGTCTAGTAGACTTGAAATCCTAAAGAAAGGCCAGGCCACCAAAATGTCAGAGACTTTTTTTTCTCAACTCACCTGGCTCCCAATATCTCTCTCTTTCCTCTCAAGCCTTAGTTTGAGATACTTCAAGGAAGATTTTCCTACTATTTTTTTTTATTTTGAGGGAAAGGGGGGGGGAAATAAAAGAACTATATCCAATTTTTTTTATCCCAACTAGAGTAGATCCATTGAAATTAATAGGGCTTGTCAGTTAATCAGCATAATTGTAGCTGTTACATGTTACTTAAGGAAAGTTGCAATGAACTTACTCAAGTTGCCAATAAAATAAGAGCACATGATATTAAAGTTATAAATACTGTACATGAATTAAATTGCAAATGTCACATAGCTATATCAATAAAATGGTAATTGAATATATCTGGATATAAGTACAACTTGTAAATGGAAAATAATTGAATCAAAATGTTATAAGAAATTGATGAAATCCTACAAATATTTAAAACCTGCACAAATTCACACTTAAAAGTATTCTCGGAGGCTTTCATGGCCAGGATCCAATGGTTGTTGTAGTTTTTTTGGGCTGTTTGGCCATGTTCTTCAGAACGAAAAACCTACAAAAACTATCACCCTTCAAACTTGGTTAGCGTATGTTTCCATAATGGATAACTTATACGAGAGAGTAGGTAACTTTCTGCCTTGCCTGGCTGTTAAAAAGTTACTCTCAAGTGCTTAAAACTGCTCTGTTCCCATTCTTCGCAACATATCATACAGGCAACTACATTTCCCCCACAATTGAGTACAATGTACCTAAAATCTTATACATCTCCTTATCTGAACTTCTAGGCTGTCGAGTTTTCATCACAGGGCCTCAAATATTGCCATTAAAAGTCTTATACTATGCTATCTAAATTAAATAGAGTTAGATAGATAATACGCTATGAATCTTAAAATAACTTTAATACTCACTAAAACAATTTTTTTGACTGGGTGGAAGTCAGAAACCGCAGCCCTTGTCTTCATATCATTAATAATGTCTTCTTTTTTCAAAAGTTTATAAGGATTTTCAGCTGTGACATCTATATCAGCACGACAATTAAATATTTCCTGAGATTTTTCAGTGAGGACCAAGGGAAAAATTTCTGGATGGCCTGAAACAGTAAACAAACCAATCCATCCATTGAAATATAGAGGGAGGAAGAAGAAATAATACATTTTCTTTAAATTATGCACAATATTCCAAATAATAATGTCATAAGCAGTCTAAAATCTTCTGTGCCTTTTCGAATAAGTATAAATGCAAGAGTGGCAATATCTCTAGAGAGAGCACCAAAATTAAATCATGAGATTGTTTCTACAGCATTAACATGTCAATTCTTCTTATCTGGTTTTCCTATAATTAGACAGAATCGTTTTCAACTGTTATGGGGGTGAAATTACAACCAGTCTACTAGTAATGCGAAACATGAAGAACTTCCCAACAATATGATGAGCCTTGCCTTCTGCTCCAGAGGAATTCTATATTCAGATGGAAGTCTTTGACATATCCACTATAAGATAGGCAAAGAAATTACAGAGTTCTCGGCATAGTAATAAACATTTTCAAAGTCTGAAATCAACTTGATGGCACATTATTATTTTTATTGATGAAGATTAAGAGTACTACACTGGAATTAGTAATAAACTGGCTGTGTGCAACCAAGGATCTATCTGGCAGCTGTAGACTGAGAATGGGAGGTGGTAAAACAACTACAGTACTTTGTTGTGGAACAAAAAATGTGATTTGAACTCTATTACTGGGTTGAAAAAGTAATGCAATTAACTCGACTAGCATGTTATTCTGCCATTCCTTCTTTTGCTATCTTTTATCATTGTTTGAGGCATCAGACCACAAAGATCCTCCCAGACAAACTGATTCATTGTGGCATCTAAATGCAGTTTCTTTTTTTTACCAGCATCTAAATGTCACTCCTAGTTTTTTTTGGCCCCAAATAGATTTTACATGGATGGTTGTGCCCTAGATGTTACCTGGGGGCTTTACGGGGTGCAACTGGACATTGTTACATTGTTACACCCTTTCTTTCTTTCTTTCTTGGCATCAGGGAGATATCTGAGGACCCTAGGGGTAGCATTGTTCTCTGTGTGCTGCATGTAGCCCATGGGTTACACAATTCTCTCCTATAATGGACAGGAACTCCTGATGTAGTGACAGAAATGGGAAACACGTTCATAGAATCTGGAAGCGCACAAAAATCTCCCGTGTATAAGTGGCTCACGCTTCCTGTTTGCTGTTTACAAGCGATACAAAAAGCAGAAATATTATTTTATTTAAGGAAAGTTCCAAACAGTTACAATACTTTGGCCATCTCATGAGAAGAGAAGACTCCTTGGAAAAGACCTTGATGTTAGGAAAGTGTGAAGGCAAGAGGAGAAGGGGACAACAGAGGATGAGATGGTTGGACAGTGTCATCGATGCTACCAGGTAAATATTTTCAAAGTCTGAAATCAACTTGATGGCACATTTTTATTATTATTATTATTGATGAAGAGTATTACACGAAGAGTTGGAAATGACTAAACGACTAAACGACAATGACAAACAGAACAAATACTGTATAGAACAAACCGCTGTGTGAATTACCAAGCTCCCACATTTATTGTCCTGCATGCACCCTGAAGCTCCTGTATGAGTTAGTTTCCATCCATCTAAAAGGAGGCAGCACATTAAGATGTGCAATTCACGGGCATGCACCTTGAAGCCCCTGTATGAGTTAGGCAGCACATTAAGATGTGCAATTCACGGTACACATGCAGATCACAACCTCTGTTGTAGTAGTGAGTCAGCTATTGGAGATGAATTATTATAGATAAACTAAAGGTCAACGGATCTGGATTAAAGATAATTATGTCTGTTTCAATGCCAAAGGGAGGCACATTGTTGGCTCTTCTTAAATTGAAGCCCCTGTATGAGTTAGGCAGCACATTAAGATGTGCAATTCACGGTACACATGCAGATCACAACCTCTGTTGTAGTAGTGAGTCAGCTATTGGAGATGAATTATTATAGATAAACTAAAGGTCAACGGATCTGGATTAAAGATAATTATGTCTGTTTCAATGCCAAAGGGAGGCACATTGTTGGCTCTTCTTAAAGCTGAATTAAATCTAAACTTGAGAATATTGATCAGCTTTAGGTACACATGCTTCGGGAATGTCTGCATTTACGTAAAGCCTGTTTTAGAACTGACAAAACAGTAAAGCGTATTCTAATCTCACTCAACCAGAAATCTAAATCCCTCAGCAAATTTCTATTGCTTAATATGTTACATTTGATAAATCTGACATTTATCCCTTAAGCCTTTTCATTTCTGGTCCTCCATGGTACCTGCTGCGCTACAGTTATTCATTAACATCTAAAGAAAGGATGAGAGCTGTCTGGCATGTTTGGAGCTTTGGCAACACGATTTCCATAAAATGAAGAACTTTACCAGATGTTGGTTGGCTGGTTGGTTGGTTTCATCGGCACAAGCCCATCAACCCACTTTGAGCTCCACACTTGGTCTGGACATTTCTCTCTGCTGCTGATTTTGGCAGTTCAATGGATTAAGTCATAAAGGGCTTGTGGTATTGTACAGAATACTAAATGCTGTAGATGTGCACTCCCTTTTGTGTTTTTTTCTACTGTAACAGTAGATTTATGAATTTCATCATGTACTGTTATAGCCTCTAAAAGGCTTGTTGTGTTTTGTTTCATGGATCCCACAACTTTTCCTGCAGTTAAAGACTTGTTGCCAGATATGAGCAGCTTGGGGAAACCTTGGAGCAAAGGTGCTGCCTCAAAACACTTCTGCACCATGAGGAACATCAGTCACCAAACCCTCCATGTAACCCCCCCCAAAAAAAAGTTAAACCAGGAGGGTTTTACTAGAAGTCCACTTCCAATTTTGAAAAATCAATCATTTGGAGCATTAAATGGTGTGTGGAAGCCCTGAGATGTACCTAAAAGATGAATTACTGCTCTAGGAGGCTCCAGTTTCTCACTTTTGGGGGGGGGCTGGAAAGAGAGTGGGGCAGAGTGATGGGTGAGGGCCTCAGTTGGTAGAGGGAAAGAGAACTGCATTTTGCCCACTGTGGCTGTCCTTCATGGCTCTGCATACCATGTATTCGTCAAAAATCATTTTTCGAGCAGAACTCACCCATGCTTGCCATAGACAGATCGGGTTCTTCTTCTTTTTTAGCTGAAATGAGATAAAATGGCTTCAGTATAAGAACACAAGAAAAGTCCTGCAGAATTCAAACCATGGGTCCATGTTGTCTAGTATCTTCAGCACTGGCTAGCCAAATGCCTCTGGATCAGGGCAGGCCACAAGGATAGAATAAAGCAACTACTACACCCCCTGTACCACAGTTGTTCACCCACAAAGTCTAATATTCAGATATTATAGTAATTTGTGTTGCCTAAGGCTCTTGTTTCCCTCTTCCTTGACATTTCCTTTTAGGTCATTTTTTAAAGAATATAAGACTGTAGGCAGGCATCACCAATTTTTAATCGGTGTATATTTTAGACACTTCATAAAACAATATCAGTAACAGCTAATTCTAAACCATCTGGATTAGCAGCCACAGATAGAGTTACCCACCATGAATGTGTTGAAAACCCTTTTAAGATTACATAAACTAAGGGCAACCATAATACCTTGCAGCTGACAATTCCATGCTGTAAGATACTGATTATTTTTCTCTATGGATCTCATAGTACTATGATATGAGGGTTATGGGGAATCACTCACCGATTCATATTTAAAAAAAACTCTTACCATCCACACCCTCCCATTCTTGCCATCCTTCCTCCCCACATACACACAATAACAAAGCCTCCCAGAAAGAACAAGGCAAAGGCCGGGTTGCCCCCAAGAATTCTGGTTGCCACTGTCATTGCCAGTTGTAGAACATTTGTTTTTCTCCAGACAGGGGAAATAAAACCATACACTATATTCAATAATGGGGTAAAATTAGCACTGATATAAGGGCATTAGAACATTGGCAGTCATGTTTTCAATCCTGTTTCCTAACAAGCCCCTGGAAGTAGTTGGATTTTGAGAATGGCAAGCAAAAACAGGCTTTTCCCTACTGGAAAAGTCCCCGGGAACCTTTTCATTTCTGCTATATAAGATTATTATTTTTCCCCAGTAAGAGGTCTACTGAGACGTCTTGCAGTTACATTTTTTAAAACATTAAAAGTGTTGTATAGATAAGCACTGAAAATCTGTAAAATAAAAATGTCTGAGAACACTCTTGTTGTCTAAATTTAGACAAATGATTTCTTTTAAACTTTTATAGCATCTTATACTCACCAGCCAACTTCCTTTTCCCTTTGGGTGACCCTTTGGGTGTCCCTTTGGGTGTCCCTTTGGGTGACCCTTTGGGTGACCCTTTGGGTGATCTCTTGGGACTCCCCTTAGCCTTTGGGGTTCCTTTCCTTTTCCCTTTCCCTTTCTTTGCTGAATCGCCATAAGTGGAGGAAGGGGAGCCAGGAGATACTGGACTTTCAGCCATTTTCCAGATTTGATTTGATTTTTTTGCCTGGGAAATAAACAACAAAACATAATTACAGTGAACTAGTATTCAACTGATAGCTTTTAGTTTCTTCACATTATAGCAAAATTGGTTCTAATAAGTAAGACATGACCCTCCAGTACCACTGAATGGTGGAAGAAGGGTTGGCCCAAGTCACGTTGCTACTCCATACCGTTTCACTGTGCAGTTCAGGAACCTGCACCCCAGAAATCCTCACTAAGCTACAGCAGATAATGATTCGAAAAGCCCTTGCATTCAGCATGGCAACGCAGGCACCAGTCAAAAGTCCTAACAGCTGCAGTGTTTATAGCCTTCCTGTGTCTGTAAACGCTGCCGTTATTAAGATCTGTGTCCCTTATTCAGATTCTAGAAGTATAGGAAGCCTGCCTGTCATGCTCTGCCAGCTCTGTACGCCACAGAGAAATGCGAAGTAGGGGCACACTGCTACTCTGCCTAGTTAAAATGCTGGCGGCTTTGAATAAAAGGTATCCAGCCAGACTGGGCAATCCCACTCACACAAACCACAGTGTGTGAAGTGCACGTACTGGCAGCAGATGGCTTCTCCTATCCATTTACCTCTCCCCACGTCCTCTGGCCCATCCCCTGCCCTCCGACTCCAAGGTAACCACCAAGACTCCGTGTGCGTCACACAGCTGTTGCAAGAAAAAGACAGAGAACAGCAGCAGCAAGGGGGGGGGAAGGAGGGGAGCTTGGGGCTGGGAGGTGCGTCGGAGCAGCCAGCTTCTCAGTTTGGCAGCAGATTGAAAGACAAAGGGGGAAGCTCCAGACCGGTAAACCTTAAGCAACCCCAGTGCTTCACACTGACTGGCGCTTGTTTCTGCTTTGACGTGGTCGCTCTGTTTAGGAAGTGTGAAAGAATCTCCAAAAGCTCTGTAACATTGATGTTAAATACATCTCCATTATCCTTATTTAATATTATTTTATCATTTCAGTGGCAAAAAAAGCCAAGGGGAGAAATAACAGCATGCACTAAATGGGACACATGTACTGGCAGCAGATGGTTTCTCCTATCCATTTACCTCTCCCCACGTCCTCTGGCCCATCCCCTGCCCTCCGACTCCAAGGTAACCACCAAGACTCCGTGTGCGTCACACAGCTGTTGCAAGAAAAAGACAGAGAACAGCAGCAGCAAGGGGGGGGGAAGGAGGGGAGCTTGGGGCTGGGAGGTGCGTCGGAGCAGCCAGCTTCTCAGTTTGGCAGCAGATTGAAAGACAAAGGGGGAAGCTCCAGACCGGTAAACCTTAAGCAACCCCAGTGCTTCACACTGACTGGTGCTTGTTTCTGCTTTGACGTGGTTGCTCTGTTTAGGAAGTGTGAAAGAATCTCCAAAAGCTCTGTAACATTGATGTTAAATACATCTCCATTATCCTTATTTAATATTATTTTATCATTTCAGTGGCAAAAAAAGCCAAGGGGAGAAATAACAGCATGCACTAAATGGGACATATAAATCAAAGAAATAAAACACAGCTCTCCTAAAAGGCACAAATGCTGTCCTTCACAAAGCACAGCGAAGGTTCCAGTTGCACTGAGGACAAGATGAGGCAGGAGCACAGTCATAAAGTGAAAAATAACTCCAGCACCATCATGTGGGAGTGAGCAACATCACAGCAAACGAAACAGCAGTTTCACAATCTGAATGTGAGTCAGGGTTTTCTTGCAGAGGTGTCCTATATCACAACCTAATTCATTTAAGAATGTGAGCTTCAGCAAGAAGATGACGAGGAACAGAGGTAATAGGCTGTGTATTGAACCACAGGTAAGTGTTAAAGCAATTTCAGAATTAGAAATGCAAGCAAACCATATATTCGCTTCCCTCATGTCAGTTTTCAACTATGAAAGAAATAGAAAGAATGGCCAATGATTCTGAACCAAGCATCTAGTGCATTATTGTAAAAACATGGTCACTCACTTCCTCAGTCAGGGACTAAAATTTTAAAAAAGGCCAATTGGAAAATAGGCTTCATTTCTAACAACTCATCCAGACGTTCGAGTCACATGAACAGAGGCAACACGGAAGTGTCTGCAATTAATCACAGAGCTATTTTTAGGAAAGCAATTTAAGAAGTAAGACAGAAGGTTCCTTAAAACAGCTACTTATTAAACTAGCCCTTTAACAAGTAACTTCATCCTTTCTTTTTTATATTTTCTGAGTTCTTATAAAGATGTTGGAGAATGGGGAGGGAAATGCAGGATACTAAGCATCAGTGAGTACATTTATTACATCAGCACTCTTATTGACACTTATTGGAGAGTCAGCCCACCCACCCCAAACTCAATAGGGCTTACCTCTGAGTAAACTGCAACACATTTCAATGCAGGTGGGTACAAAATGAAATAGAGAGGAAAGGTATTGGCGGTGAATATCTCTGCAGCAAATAATAGTAAGCAGAATATTTAAGACTGATCACAGATGAAGAAGATGGTATGGGAAACAACTGAGTTGAGATGAGATGAGAAGACTTTGTCTAAAACAGCCACTGTTGGTACTGTGAAATCTTATAACACATTTTAAAAAAATAGGGAGAGCCTTGTAGGGTTAGATAGGGCAATCTCCAAAGGTTCAGGGAGTGCATGCACCCATCCCCGGAACTTCAAGGGTCATGATCATACTCACATCCACTCCAGAGATCCTTCAAAAATAGGTGTGTGTGTGTGGGGGGTTGTTTCTTATTGAAGAAGTCCCCTCAGGCCCTCTAGTGGCCAAAAACATTAAACATTTTTCGAAAGCATGGGGGCAGAGGTAGAGGTGCTGGGGGTCTTTGAAAACATGGCAAAATCCAGTCCCGCATCCTGTCTCCAGTAGAGAGAGCCAAATCAGATGACTCCTTAAAGACAAGTCATCAAACATGCCATGAGAGGAGGAGGTCTCTTCTTTTGTTGCCCCTTAGCGAAGACTTGGGGGGGGGGGAATACTTTTTTAGCCACATTATAATTTTTGGACTACAGCTCTCAAGATCTCCAGCCAGCCAGGGATCTGCTGCATGTGGTGGTTGCTTCACTCTGCCTGATAGCGGTGCCGGTCCCATCAGCATGGTTCCTAGAAAGATTCTGCCACCTCTTTCAACTCTGAACTAGTGGCAGCGCTGGGATCAAGAAATTATTGAACTTCACCATGGTTCATTCTCCTAGATTAGATTAGCATCCTTCAGTCTCGAGAAATTATGGTAACATGCTCTGTATGGAGGACTTGGAACAGCATCTAGTGTGGCTAAGAAGGTCAATTTGAGAGTGACAATCCCTTCTACACTGAAGACAAATACAATCGGTCCCCTATCCAGCTCCCTAGTTTTGCTGCTTTCGGCACTGCCTCTTTGCCTCGGCCTGCTGGACAAGGGTCTCTTCAAATTGGAAGAGGCCATGCTGCACCGCCTGCTTCCAGGCTGAACGCTCAGACATCAAGGTTTCCCATCTGTTGAGGTCCATTCCTAAGGCCTTCAGATCTCACTTGCAGATATCCTTGTATCGCAGCTGTGGTCTCCCTCTCGGGTGATTTCCATGCACTAATTCGCCATACAGGAGATCTTTTGGAATTCGATCATCAGCCATTCTCACAACATGCCCAAGCCAATGTTGACGTTGCTGTTTCAGTAGTGTACACATGCTAAAAATTCCAGCTTGTTCTAGGACTACTCCATTTGGAACTTTGTCCTGCCAGGTGATACCAAAAATACATCGGAGGCAGCGCATATGGAACGTGTTCAGCTTCCTCTCCTGCTGTGCACAAA